TTTGCTTTCACATCCTGAGTGTCCTTCCCTCAGGGTTCAGGCTATGGGTGGCTGATGGTTGCTAGATAGCAGGTATTCTTCTCCTTCCTGAGTTCCCTTAGAGTTCACTGGCTCAGTGATCCTAGAAATTAGACACTTCCCCCCCACCAACCAAAACAACAACAACAAATCAATTTTCCTCAGAAGATCCTAGGGAAATAAAATGGACAAAAAGAAAAAACCATGCAAAAAACCATGCAAAACAAACAAACAAAACAAAGAGAACAACTTCAAAGTTATTTTATTTAATCCAAAAACCTTACCCATCCAGTGATGTAGTAGCTAGAGGGGTCAGCTTTGCATACTGAAAGCCCTAGCTCTAGCTGCAGTTAGAAATACATATTTGCCATTTACTACTTTACTATCCTTGGACAAGAGTCTACTGTTATATAATTGTTTCCTCCGGGATCAATGCAAAGAAATAGAGGAAAACAACAGAATATTGTTTTCAATAGAATATTGAAATAGAGGCGCTACCCCACGTCCAAGGTCAAGGGCAGTGGCCGAAAGGAGCTACTCCTCGGCCAAGGTAAGGACCAGCAGCTGCACTTTGCTATAGCAGCCGTGAAGAGATACCCCACGTCCACGGCAAGAGAAACCCAAGTAAGGCGGTAGATGTTGCGAGAGGGCATCAGAGAGCAGACACACTAAAGCCATAATCACAGAAAACTAGCCAATCTGATCACAGGACCACAGCCTTGTCTAACTCAATGAAACTAAGCCACGCTGTGTGGGGCCACCCAGCATGGACGGGTCATGGTGGAGATGTCTGACAGAATGTGGTCCACTGGAGAAGGGAATGGCAAACCACTTCAGTATTCTTGCCTTGAGAACCCCATTAACAGTATGAACAAGCAAAAAGATAGGACACTGAAAGATGAACTCCCCAGGTTGGTAGGTGCCCAATATGCTTCTGGAGATCAGTGGAGAAATAACTCCAGAAAGAATGAAGGGATGGCGCCAAAGCAAAAACAATACCCAGCTGTGGATGTGACTGGTGATAGAAGCAAGGTCTGATGCTGTAAAGAGCAATATTGCATAGGAACCTGGAATGTTAGGTCCATGAATCAAGGCAAATTGGAAGTGGTTGAACAGGAGATGGCAAGAATGAATGTTGACATTTTAGGAATCAGTGGACTAAGATGGACTGGCAATGGGTGAATTTAACTCAGATGACCATTATATCTACTACTGTGGGCAGGAATCCCTTAGAAGAAATGGAGTAGCCATCATGGTCAACAAAAGAGTCCGAAATGCAGTACTTAGATGCAATCTCAAAAATGACAGAATGATCTCTGTTCATTTCCAAGGGAAACCATTCAATATCACGGTAATCCAAGCCTATGCCCCAACCAGTAATGCTGAAGAAGCTGAAGTTGAATGGTTCTATGATAACCTACAAGACCTTTTAGAACTAACACCCCAAAAGATGTTCTTTTCATTATAGGGGACTGGAATGCAAAAGCAGGAAGTCAGGAAACACCTGGAGTAACAGGCAAATTTGGCCTTGGAGTACGGAATGAAGCAGGGCAAAGGCTAATAGAGTTTTGCCAAGAGAACGCACTGGTCATAGCAAACACCCTCTTCCAACAACACAAGAGAAGACTCTACACATGGATATTACCAGATGGTCAACACCAAAATCAGATTGATTATATTTTTTGCAGCCAAAGATGGAGAAGCTCTATACAGTCAGCAAAAACAAGCTGACTGTGGCTCAGATCATGAACTCCTTATTGCCAAATTCAGACTTAAGTTGAAGAAAGTAGGGAAAACCACTAGACTATTCAGGTATGACCTAAATAAAATCCCTTATGATTATACAGTGGAAGTGAGAAGATTTAAGGGACTAGATCTGATAGAGTGCCTGATGAACTATGGACAGAGGTTTGTGACATTGTACAGGAGACAGGGATTAAGACCATCCCCGTGGAAAAGAAATGCAAAAAAGCAAAATGGCTGTCTGAGGAGGCCTTACAAATAGCTGTGAAAAGAAGAGAAGCAAAAAGCAAAGGAAAAAAGGAAAGATATTCCCATCTGAATGCAGAGTTCCAAAGAATAGCAAGGAGAGATAAAAAAGCCTTCCTCAGGGATCACTGCAAAGAAACAGAGGAAAACAACAGAATGGGAAAGACTAGCAATCTCTTCAAGAAAATGAGCGATACCAAGAGAACATTTCATGCAAAGATATGCACAATAAAGGACAGAAAAGGTATGGACCTAACAGAAGCAGAAGATATTAAGAAGAGGTGGCAAGAATACACAGAAGAACTATACAAAAAAGATCTTCATGACCCAGATAATCATGAGGGTGTGATCACTCACCTAGAGCCAGACATCCTGGAATGTGAAGTCAGGTGGGCCTTAGAAAGCATCACTACAAACAAAGCTAGTGGAGGTGATGGAATTCCGGTTGAGCTATTTCAAATCCTGAAAGATGATGCTGTGAAAGTGCTGCACTCAATATGCCAGCAAATTTGGAAAACTCAGCAGTGGCCATAGGACTGGAAAAGGTCAGTTTTCACTCCAATCCCAAAGAAAGGCAATGCCAAAGAATGCTCAAACTACTGCACAATTGCATTCATCTCACATGCTAGTAAAGTAATGCTCAAAATTCTCCAAACCAGACTTCAGCAATATGTTAACCATGAACTTCCAGATGTTCAAGCTGGTTTTAGAAAAGGCAGAGGAACCAGATATCAAATTGCTAACATCTGCTGGATCATCGAGAAAGCAAGAGAGTTCCAGAAAAACATCTATTTCTGCTTTATTGACTATGCCAAAGCCTCTGACTTTGTGGATCACAATAAACTGTGGAAAATTCTGAAAGAGATGGGAATACCATACCTTCTGACCTGTCTCTTGAGAAACCTGTATGCAGGTCAGGAAGCAACAGTTAGAACTGGACATGGAACAACAGACTGGTTCCAAATTGGGAAATGAGTACGTCAAGGCTGTATATTGTCACCCTGCTTATTTAACTTATATGCAGAGTGCATCATGAGAATCGCTGGGCTGGAGGAAGCACAAGCTGGAATCAAGATTGCCGGGAGCAATATCAATAACCTCAGATATGCAGACAACTCCACCCTTATGTCAGAAAGTGAAGCAGAACTAAAGAGCCTCTTGATGAAAGTGAAAGAGGAGAGTGAAAAAGTTGCCTTAAAATTCAACATTCAGAAAACTAAGATCATGGCATCTGGTCCCATCACTTCATGGGAAATAGATGGGGAAACAGTGGAAATAATGAGAAACTTTATTTTTGGGGGCTCCAGTATAACTGCAGATGGTGATTGCAGCCATGAATTTAAAGGACGGTTTTGAACTGTGGTGTTGGAAAAGGCTCTTGAGAGCCCCTTGGACTGCAAGGTCAGTCCTGGGTGTTCATTGGAAGGACTGATGTTGAAGCTGAAACTCCAATACTTTGGCCACCTGATGCGAAGAGCTGACTCATTGGAAAAGACTGTAATGTTGGGAAGGATTGCCGGCAGGAGGAGAAGGGGATGACAGAGGATGAGATGGCTAGATGGCATCACCGCCTCGATGGACACGGGTTTGGGTGGACTCCGGGAGCTGGTGGACAGAGAGGCCTGGTGTGCTGCGGTTCCTGAGGTCGCAGAGAGTCGGACAGGACTGGGCGCCTGAACTTACTGATCGCTGACACGAGTCACTTAGCTGTGTGTGCTTAGTTCCTGTGGGAAATGGACAAGCGCATTAGATTACTGCAGAGGCCGACCATCTGAGTAAAAGAAGACGATCCATGTATACTGCTTAAGAATATTTGACACTACCTCAGTATTAGTCTTAACCTTAATTTCCTTTCAGCACTGTGGTAAGGGTAAGCATCTGTGAAGGGCACTGAAAAAAAGTTCTTAAAATGAGATTGACCAAAGGAAGTGCTTCTTGAGGGGACACTACAGCTCTAAACAGAGGCACAGAGAGATCAACAGCCAAGGAGTGGTCAGAACCTCAACACGGATGGGGCAAATGCCCTCCTACTTCGCATTCTTTAAGGTACGTTATAGAAGGCTTGCTTGCCTTCTTGCTCAGTCCTGTCCTGTCCAAATCTCTGCGACCTTATAGGCTTTAGCCCATCAGGCTCTTCTGTCCATGCGACTTTCGTGGCAAGAATATGGAGTCGGTTGCCATTTCCTCTTCCAGGGGATCTTCCCCACACAGGGATCAAACCTGTCTTGGCAGGTGGATTGCTTACCATGGAGCCACAGAATTCAGAATGCTGTGTGTGTGTGTGTGTGTGTGTGTGTGTGTGTGTGTGTGTGAGTGAGAGAGAAAGAGAGATAGAGAGAGAGAGAGAGAGAGTAGGGGTGGGGGGTGGGCGGGTGGGGCTGAGTCGTGTCTGACTGACTGACTGAGATCCCAGGCTCTTCTGTCCATGGAATTTTCCAGACAAGAATTCAGAATACTAAAGCCTTGCAAATACACGGGCTCCTCAAATTTAAGTTCGTAGTTATGTTTAAAGGCACCCTCGCCGCCCCCGCCTGGTGGCCCAGCTGGTAAAGAATCCGTCTGCAGTGCGGGAGACGTGGGTTCGATCCCTGCGTTGGGAAGATCCCCTGGAGAAGGGAAGGGCCCCCCACTTCAGTATTCTGGCCTGGAGAATTCCGTGGACTGTACAGTGCAGGGGGTCGCAGAATCGGACACGACTGAGCGCCTCTCCCTTCCCCGCCCCCGCGCCGTAAGGCCCAGGACTCCGCTCGCTCTGAGAGGTCCCCAGTTGTCCCCGAAGCGGCTCCGTCCCGGTGTCCCCGCCCGTCCTCAGCTCGGGCTCCTCTCCCTCGGGCTCCCTGCCCGGGCTCGGCCGGCCCACTGCCCAGTGCGCATGCTCGGCGGCCGGGAGGCGGGAGGCGGGCTCGTTCCGCCGGCGCCCTCGGCCTGCAGCCGGCCACGCAGCGGCGGGAGCGCGCGCCCCGGGGCGGCGGCGTCCTGGAGACCCCCGAGCGATGGAAGCGGCGGCGCCGGCGGCGGCCGAGGCGGCTGGCCGCGAGGAGCTCGGTGGGTGCGGCGTGGGCGCGGAGGCCCGGGGGTGCGGCGCCGCGCCGCGCTGCCCGCGGGTCGGGGTGCTTGGTGCTCGAGCCTCGGCGGGGTCGTCAGTGGGCTTCTTGCGGGGCGAGGCTCCTGGGGGCGTGGGGCTGGCGTCGGTTCGAACGTGAGAGCAGCCATGTCTCCGGACACCGGGGCGGACCGAGGCCGCCGAGGGGACTGACTTTGGGGTCCGCACCTGCGCAGGAGAGCGCGGTCCGGCGGGGAGCCAGGCCTGCAGAGGGTGTCGGAGTGTGTGTGTGTGTGTGTGTGAGTGTGTGTGAGAGAGACTGTGCGTGTGTGTGAGAGTGACAGTGTGTGAGTGATTCAGAGTGTGTGTGACAGTGTGAGTGTGTGTGTGTGACAGAGTGTGTGACTGTGTGAGTGATAGTGTGAGACAGTGTGAGTGTGTGTGTCCGTGTGTGAGACTGTGAGAGGGTGTGTGTGTGAGACAGTGTGAGTGTGTGTGAGACAGTGTGTGTGTGACAGTGTGTGACTGTGTGAGAGTGACAGTGTGTGAGTGATTCAGAGTGTGTGTGACAGTGTGAGTGTGTGTGTGACAGAGTGTGTGACTGTGTGAGTGATAGTGTGAGACAGTGTGAGTGTGTGTGTCCGTGTGTGAGACTGTGAGAGGGTGTGTGTGTGAGACAGTGTGAGTGTGTGTGAGACAGTGTGTGTGTGACAGTGTGTGACTGTGTGAGAGAGACAGTGTGAGAGTGTGTGTGTCCGTGTGTGAGACTGTGAGAGGGTGTGTGTGTGAGACAGTGTGAATGTGTGTGACAGCGAGTGTGACTGTGAGTCAGTGTGCGTGAGAGACTGTGTGAATCAGTGTGAGAGAGTGTGTGTGTGAGGTCGGTGGCGTGCACTGAGTGTACGTGTCAAAGGCAAACCACAGCCTGCGCTGTGACTCGCACTGTTTTTTTCCAGCGGTGCTTTAAGGAAGTTGTCACAGATGGGCTCTTCGGAGGAGGCGCCAGGATCAGGAACACTGTTGAATCCTTCCTTTACTCTCCGCCCCCCTGGGTGTGGCCAACGCTCTCTGATCAGATGCAAACTAGCAGTTGACTGACTTGGCAAACTTTTGTTTCCCTACTTTCCTTTGGTGTCTTATTTTGGCCACGGGGAATACACAGCATTGTTTATGGTTTCCCGCTGTCCAAAGGAAAACAAAAGTAGAGATCGGAATAGTAATATTGTTCCTCCCAGTTATAAGCATCGTATTAAGAAGATTTGTAATTCGTTGTTAAATCATTAAATGATTAAAAAAGAAGTTGAGGGAATTCCCTGGAGGTTGAGTGGTTAGGGCTCCTCCCTTCCATTGCAGAGGGCACGGGTTCCAACCTTGGGTCCGGGAGCTAAAATCCTTCCTGCGCCTTTAAAAAGAAATACTTTATTATAGTAAGAAGTAGACGTCCTGTAATACTGTGCACTTTGCAGTTGATTTCTTCAAGTCCCAGTAATGGTAGAAATAAACATTGCGGTATTGAATGTTTACTGTGTGGCAAGTAGTGTAAGTGCTTTTCCTACATTTTCTCTCCTTTAATTCTCACAATGATGGGTGAAGTAGGTGTAATTATTATCCCTATTTTATAGATTGAGTAGTTTTAAGCTCATCAATGGTAGTACCCAGATAGGAACCCAGGTTTATCTGTTCTAAATTCGTTAATAACCCAACCCAGTGAGGATGTTGGGAAATGTGTGTTCTCATGCATTACTGGTAAAAGCCGTGTAACATATTTATCCTTAAAAATGCACATATTGTTTGACCCAGCATTTCTACTTCTAGAAATATGTCTCCAGGAAATGTCATGAAACATATCAACAGATGTTCATTACATCATTTATAAAAGAGAAAAGCTGGTGACTATTTAAATGTTCAGTTAAAGGAAATTGTTTAGGTAAATTGTGATATAGCTATATGGTCATATGCTGAATAGCCATTTAAAGTCACATGGGAAGATATTTGCCAGATATATTTTTACTAACTGAAAAAATTTTCTAAATTATTTTTTTAAGTTATGTCTGTTCATTAATTCAGCACATATTTGTTGAGCTACTCCCATGTGCTAGGCACTGCTTTAGGCATTTGGGATACATCTGTGAACAACACAGATCAGATCAAGATTCTTGCTCTCATGGAACTTACATTCTAGTAAGAGAAAGCAGACAGTAAACAGTAAGACTATTATCAGTTAATGTGTATGTGTATGCTCAGTTGGTCAGTTGTGTCGGACTCTTTACGACTCCATGGACTTGAGCCCACTAGGCTTCTCCGTCTATGACATTTTCCAGGCAAGAGTCCTGGAGTGGGTTGCCAATATCCCGGGGGATCTTCCCAACCTGGGGATCGAACCTGAGTCTCTTGCATCTCCAGCATTGGCAGGCAGATTCTTTACCACTGCGCCATAATGATTACATTAGGCTAAAAGTGCTATGGGAAAAAAGAATAGAGTAAGAGAAATCAGGAATGAGAGTCAGGCTCGGCAGTTTATAGTATTTTATGAAGTGGCCTAAATGGGCTTTATTGAAACAGTGGGATTTGAACAAAGACTTGACAGAGGTTAGGGGATTAATCAAGTGGATGTCTGAAGACAGACTATTACAGGCAGAAAGAACAGCTGGAGTAATGACAGAAATAGCAAGAAGGGCCTGGAAGCTGAAGCAGAATGGTCAAGGTGGTGATAAAGCCAGATTTTGTAGTGGTGTGGACATCCATGTGAAGCCTTTGGCTTTTCCTCTGAGAGAATAGGGAGCCAACACAAGGTTTCAGGGGAGGAGAGACATGATTTGACTTTAATTCTAAAGGATCGCTCTGGCTGCTGTGTGAAGAATAGACTTAAGGGGGCAAAAGTGGAAGCAGGTTATTTCAGCAGTTCAGGAAACAGATGGACTTGTTCTTCACAGCAGTGTGCTAGCAGCGTGGAGAATGGAGAATCATGGTCAGACTCTGGATATATAAAGCAGAGCCAGAATGATTTCCTGACAAGTTAGATGTGGAGTGATGGTGCAACTGAGAAGGCAAGGATAACTCCAGGCACCTGCGTGTCTGGAAGAATGAACTGCCATCATCTGAGATGTGGTGGTGGTTTTATAGTATGTCTACAAATTCTTTGATGCTTCTCTCTTCAAGAGGAGGAACTTAATTTCCTTCCCTTTGAATGCGGGCTGTGTTTAGTGACTTGTTTCTAATGAATAGATTATGGGGGAAATGATGATGGAATCGTGGAATTGGTGGCAGTGACCCCAAAGCTGGGTCCTGAAAGGCATTGTGCCGTGCCCTGTCTTTTGGATCAGTTCCTTGCAGGGAAGCCAGCTGCCATGTTGTGAGGGTACTCAAGCCGTAAAGGGCCCATGTTTCGTGGAACCAAGGCCCCCTGACATAGATAGCAAGTACGGATGGTTAAAGCTGGGCGGAGCAGGCTTGGTGGTGAAGATCAGGAGTTTAGTTTGAGGCTTGCTAAGTTTGTGATGTCTGTTAGACATGAAAGTGCAGATGTTGAGTAGGCAATGGGATTTATGTCTAGAGTTAGTGAGAAGCCCGATCTGGAGATAAATATTTGGAAGTCATCAACATGTTGATAGTATTTAAAGCCGTAGGGCTGAATAAAAATAAACTGAAGTGAATTAACATGTTTGTTTATACTCTAAAATGTTGCCAGTGGTAGTTTCTAGGCAACGAGGTCATTTTAATTTAAAAATTTTGCTTATCTTTATATTTCCTAATTTTCTACAGTGACCAAATATTATTTGATTTAAAAAAGAATTTTAAAAATTGGGTGGCTATGTGAAAAGCACTAGTAGAGTTGTTAAGATACAGGTTTCCTTGAGCTTAAGGTCCACATTTTATTTCAGAGCAAATAGGAACCTCTGGAAGATTTTGTGCTGTACATGTGTTCTCTGCCTCCGAAATGGATAAAATAGTTACTGTTCCTATGTTATATATGGTAGTATATAGATTTAGGTGGCAACATTATGTTATTTTTAAAAAGGAAGCTTTTTACTTTATTTTAGTTTATTGTCAAAATATAAGTGGCTTCTTTTGCTATTATCAAAGTAAGGCAAGTTTATTACTTTCTTGTTATTTTTTACATTTTCCAAAGAAAGAAAAAGGTACTCATGCTTTCGTTGTCTGTATATATCCTTGTTAACTTATTCACATTTTGTATTATTTCCTTACTTTAATTTTTATTTAACTTTTAAAACATCATTGCACTCATGCTGTGATTATCTAGTTTTTTCTTCCTCAGCAGTTGATATATTATCTCTGTTTTGTTCAGACTTGGAAAGCCATAATTTAATGTCAGTATCATAGTTTACAAAGTGGATGTACTCTAGTGAATTGATCGATTTCCTGATTGTTACACATTTAGGTTGTTTCCAAATTTTCAGCAAAAATTTTGTTTTGATTAACATCTTTGTGCAGAAGTCCTTTTCTTCATATACTACATTTGTAGACATGGGATTACTCAGTGAAAAGGATAAATATTTTAAAGATTTCAATTCATATTGCTGAATGAATGTGATTGTTCTTTATTCTGATGATAACTGGAAATTTCAGGTTGATTTTAGGTTAGGAAATTGAGATTGAAAAGAGCATAAAAACAAAGTTAAAGAATCTTCCAGTATCTTAAAGCATAGCTTTACTCTTATGAAGACCTGTTGTGCTGAGTTCCAGTTAGCACTGGGATAATGGCAGCTGCCTCAATCTTAATCTCTCCACCTATCCTCACCCGAAACCTGTTAATTCAACAAGATCACAAGAAAACACATTTATGAAATTATTCTTTTAGCATAGGAGACCAAGGATACCACAAACTTCAAATAATCTGTAGATAGAAAAATAAACAGAGAATTTCCAGCAGAGATCCTTTTGCTGCTGCAAACATGGAGAGTGGAGGGGTCTCTGTGGAAAAGAGGAGAGGGAGCAGGAGGCTTGGAAGAAGTGCAGTGAAAATCTCCTTCAGAAAGGGAAAGTGTAAAACGTGGTATATATTTATAATGGAGTACTACTCAGCCATAAAAAGAATGAAATCCTGCCATTTGCAACAACATGTATGGACTTGGAGGACATTATGCTAAGTGAAATAAGTCAGACAAATACTGTATGATATCACTTTATATGTGAAATCTAAAAAATATACCAAAAATAAAAAATATACCAAACTAGTGAATATAACAAAAAGGCCTACTCACAGAGGACAAAATAGTTGATACCAGTGGGGAAAGGGAAGCAGGGAGGGGCAATATAGGGTCAGAGGATTAAGAGGTACAAATTATTAGATATAAAAGCTATGTGTACAAATGCAACATAGGGAATATAGCCAATATTTTATAGTAACTATAAATGGAGTATAACCTCTAAAAATTGTGAACCACTATATGTATACCTGTAACTTATGCAAGACTTTATTTTTTTGGGCTCCAAAATCACTGCAGATGGTGACTGCAGCCATGAAATTAAAAGATACTTACTCCTTGGAAGGAAATTTATGACCAACCTAGATAGCATATTAAAGAGCAGAGACATTACTTTGCCAACAAAGGTCCATCTGGTCAAGGCTATGGTTTTTCCAGTGGTCATGTATGGATGTGAGAGTTGGACTGTGAAGAAAGCTGAGTGCCGAAAAATTGATCCTTTTGAACTGTGGTGTTGGAGAAGACTCTTGAGAGTCCCTTGGACTGCAAGGAGATCCAACCAGTCCATCCTAAAGGAGCTCAGTCCTGGGTGTTCATTGGAAGGACTGATGCTGAGGCTGAAACTCCCAATACTTTGGCCACCTCATGCGAAGCGTTGACTCATTGGAAAAGACCCTGATGCTGGGAGGGATTGGGGGCAGGAGAAGAAGGGGACGACAGAGGATGAGATGGCTGGATGGCATCACTGACTTGATGGGCATGAGTTTGAGTCAACTCCGGGAGTTGGTGATGGACAGGGAGGCCTGGCGTGCTGCAATTCATGGGGTTGCAAAGAGTCGGACACAACTGAGCGACTGAACTGAACTGAACTTATGTAATATTGTATAACAATATTTAAAAGCTTTTAAATTAAAAGATAAAAATATGATTGCCATTTGTGTACTCAGTATGATTTGATGCTAACAAAAGATAAAAATTCATTGGATTATTTCCTCACATTTTCCATACCATAATTCTATCATCATTTACTATAAACCTTATGGAGACAAACTAGAAAACATGTTGCAGTGAATACTTACGCTTTTCACTTTTAACTCAATTTTTAAAATGATGGTGAAGTACTTTTTTTTCTTTTTTAAGATATGGATATAATGAGGCCCTTAATAAATGAGCAGAATTTTGATGGGACATCGGATGAAGAACAGGAACAGGAGCTTCTGCCTGTTCAGAAGCATCACCAGCTTGATGATCAAGATGGTATTTCGTGAGTAATTAGGGTTTAAATGTCTTTTTCTCTTTTCATTCATTGTATATTTTGTAATCATCTTCTATAGACCGGTACTGGATACTGCAGAAGTCACAAAGATGAGTAAGACGTATTCCCCACCCACAAGACATGTATGGTTTATTTGGGAAAGAAGAAAAACGTCTAAATTACAGAGCAGTGTATAGGAATCACTACATGATGAAAGTGAAAGTCTCTCAGTAATGTCTGGCTTTTCGCGACCCCATGGACTATACAGTCTTTGGGATTCTCCAGGCCAGAATACTGAAGTGGGTAGCCTTTCCCTTCTCCAGGGGATCTTCCCAACCCAGGGATCCAACCTAGGTCTTCTGCATTGCAGGTGGATTCTTTACCAGCTGAACTACAAGGGAAGCCCAAGAATACTGCAGTGGGTAGCTTATCCCTTCTCCAGGGGATCTTCCTGACCCAGGAATGAAACCGGGGTCTCCTGCATTGCAGGCAGATTCTTTACCAACTGAGCTATCAGAGAAGCCTCCTCACTGCAGGATAATGCATATAAATGCTGTGAATCTTGAAAGAAGGGGGATTGGATTGGGAGGAATAGAATTTTCAGAGAAGGGGCTTCTGCAGTGTTTAGGAATTAGACTCTGGGAAGTAGGCAGTAAACAGTTCTTTATGTTGAGTGAATGATGTGAAACAGAGTCATGGTCTCAGGAAAGCAGTGGAATATTTTTAAACTCTTTTTTGTTATTTTGTTATCATTAATAGATTTGAGTAAGTTATTATTCTAATGATAATTTGACAGTTAAGCAAAGTAACATTTTTATTGACCACAGAAGAATAGTATAAACTAATAAAAATTTTAATAAGCATTTTTTTTTCAAAATTAAAAATTTGTACCCTTCTTCCTAGTTTAATTTGTGTTTTCTTGGCCAAGAGACTCTCCAAATGCCTCTTGGAATGCTTTCTTAGGTGAAATCCCTTGGGAGTTCATGATTTTAAAAGCTGATTAGTATTTATCTTACTTGATGATATACACAGTTTTAGAAATTGTATTTTTTTCTTTTAATTAACTTCCTCTGAGGTTGATAATCATAGATAAACTATGTTTAATGTCATGATTGCATAGTGCAATAAATTGCTGTCTTACCAGCTTAGTTGTATATAGTATTTAGCATTGTTCTGAATATCATAGCAGCAAAGAATCTTATGAGAAAATTGCCTTTATTACTTTAATATGTACAAAAATACTTTCATTTAACTCATTTAATCTCCATAATAACCCTCTGTATTCTACTTTTGAAGCACAAAGGAAGGACTTGAACCAAATATAACTTTTGGTTCCTTCACCTTCTGGTTGAATGGAAATGTTAGTTTGATTCCTTGCCTAGATTAATTTTTAGTTCTCTTCTGATTCTAAAACCGTAGTCATGTAATTTTAATAGCTTTTGTTCTAAAATGTTTGTTACAACTTCTACTTTTCAGATTTTTACAAACTCTTATTCATCTTCTTAAAGGAAATATTGGAACTGGTCTTTTAGGACTTCCACTGGCAATAAAAAATGCAGGCATAGTGGTAAGACTCATCTTCTTAATCTCTAGTTAAAATACAGTTACCAGTTTTAATTTACAGGAAAAATTAGAGCAAGTTAACATCTAGCCTAGTCAAATATAACCGGGTCAGGTGACAACTAGATAATTGTTTAGCTATTGTTGTTAAAATTATATGAACATGATAATATCTAACTAAAAACGAGAATTAATTACTCTCTTCATTTCTACTGAATTACTTGTTTATAATATTTGACAGATCCTAAATCAATATCTGATTTTTCCAGGTATGGTTAGATCTTATTAGTCTTTTGGATTTTCAGGAATTTAAGTAATACATTCATAGCAACAGATGTATTTATAGAGTATTACTATTGGTGAAATTTTATGGTTTTTTAGATTCCAAATAAAATGCAAGTTTTCAGGTTTTAAGAATAATAGTTAAAAAAAAAGAATAACAATATCTTTTGAAAACAAATATTCAAGAGTTTGCTGCAACCAATTATTGTAATTATAGAGAATCCTGATAGGGGAGAATTCAGTTATGGACTAATGAAATTATATTTAACATTTTTTAACTGATGAATTTTCTTAACTTTTATTTTTTTTTAAATTTTTTATTAGTTGGAGGCTAATTACTTTACAATATTGTAGTGGTTTTTGTCATACATTGACATGAATCAGCCATGGATATACATGTATTCGCCATCCCGATCCCCCCTCCCACCTCCCTCTCCACCCGATTAAGAAGAGTTTTAACTATCATATTGGACTTTGTCCATCCTAATTTAGAGAAACTGAAAAATTTCTGATTATAAAAATAACTTTGGCGATATTTGGTCTGTCAATAATCTACACATCACTTTAATTTTAGTAAATGAGTACTTGAAATTTTTATGTGCCACTTTTTCAAATAGTTATTTTCTAGGCACAGTTTTTCAGGTGTGATTCTCAGCAAGCAATGTACAGAAGGAGTAGATTGCCTACAATCCCAGATGATACACTGTTTTTAGTAACTTAGATAATGTTTTATGGTTCCGTATACTTTTACTGGTGGGATACCAGTTGTCACAGACTTGCCATCTGATGTTAAATATCATGCTGTATTCTATTCTATTGTGTTGCATGTCTATAGTCTACATTCATAGGTTTGGATAGTCAAGTTGATAAGAGGTAATCATATATGGTTGTCTTAAATATTACTGAATTCTTTCTGTATCAAGTCCATTAGTTTCTATTATGCAAATGATTCTTTAATCATTTTGTCTAACAAATATTTGTTACTGAAAATTTGTCAGGGACAATTAATAGTCTGTTATTTCATTGTTTATAAGGTAATTTAATTTTTATTAAACTTAAATATTTAAAACTTATGTTTTCCCCACAGCTCGGACCAATCAGCCTTGTATTTATAGGAATTATTTCTGTTCATTGTATGCACATTTTGGTACGTTGCAGTCACTTTCTATGTCAGAGGTAAATGTGGATTTGTTAAGTCTATTTAATTTATTTTAAAACTATATAGTTTTTAAAGGATAAGATAGTCTTATGTTTCTGTTGTGCTTTGCAACTAGACATTGTATTGCCTATAGTCTGTTATATAGACAATTCTAAGAGAATGATTATGGGAAAAGGTAGCATTTCGTATGGCTGAAATCTGGTCAGCATAAACATACTTCTTTTAAAAGTAGTGAAATCAAATTTTTTTTAATATAGTGTAAATGAAAAAAATCAGGGAAGATACATGGGGCAAAAGGAGGCCGCAGGGCTACTTTTAGTTAAAAAATAATGGTCATTTTGTTACTAATTTCATTTTTGGTGTAAGACCTTTTATGCTCTTTGCTGATATATGGGTTGGTAGATACTAAAATAATATTCTGTTTTATTTTTGTGTCAAAATGTTTCTATTGGATAGTGAACCAACTTTTAAACAAACATTGTCTATTCTGGCAAACCAATATTCTAACTTTAACTCACTTTTGTTGTTGCTAAATCTTCTTAAAACTTTAGGCAGGTCATTTATGATCTTTAAATAACACTGTATACTTGAAAAAATAGAAGAGAGAATGTGGCTATTATGATGACTAAATAGGGTAATTTATGTGACAATATATTATAAAGCCCTGTATGGGTTTTTTGAAATAATGCTGTTATAAGAATGGAATAATTTAGGCATGAACAGTGTAGTTGATGTTTTTAGATAATTGAAGTATTTAAATCAGTGAAACACAAATATTATGTTATATGAATTCAACAAATATATAAACTTTAACAGTGGGTTCAAAACTAATATATTGGTTAAAAAGATATATAAAAACTTTAAATTTCATGAGGTGACTTTAGAAATATGCAAATCTCCAAATTTAAAAAACTCCTCTGTCAGTGTATAGTCCATTTATGGACTTTTCAAGAAATGGATTTATGGAACAATTAAAAATTTTTCTTTTTCATATGCATGTATGTCATTAAATTTCAGGTTTAAAAAGTCAACATTAGGGTATAGTGACACTGTGAGTTTTGCTATGGAAGTAAGTCCTTGGAGTTGTCTGCAGAAGCAAACAGCATGGGGACGGTAAGTACTTGTTATGTTATTAATATCTAGTTATCAATATAGGTATTTTGGTCTGATAAAGTACATTAATAAAGAATAATAAAGTTGGGAGGAGACATAAGTTTTAGAGTTAAATGGACTTGGGTTCAAATTTCAGCTCTATCATTTTACAAATTTATGATCTGGGTCAAAGAATTTTTATTTTATTTGAGTTTTTTCACTATCAAGTGAGTTTACAATCATACTTCACAGGATTATAATGATAGTTGAAATAAAATGATATTTATAAAGCACCTAGCTAACCTATGATATAATCATGTTCAATAATTTTTAAGTAAAGGACAAAAAGCAAGAAAAATGTTGCAATCTCTATTTCAAATAAAATTGTAGTGTTTAGCCCATACTCATAAGACAGCTGAAGTATGTATTTTAATATAATGTTTTTATTATTGTATAGTTTAAATGTAACTTTATTGTTGGCAGACATGGCTAATCAAAATCAGGTGAATACAGGACTGGAAAATAAGCATAGGCAGTTTACAGCATGCTAACCAGGATACAAATAATATATGTGGTGGAAGTTAAAAGAAGGAAAAGGATGGTATTAGTAGAGTGGTTTATGGTTTGATTTTCAGGAAGTTAGATGTGTCTGTGAGCTGCTCAGAGTTTCTGGCCTGATAGACTGTTCGGGAGATGGGAGGAAGCAAGCCCAGTGCCCTGGGGATTGCCTGGAGGACCCCATCTTCCTCCTCCTCCTCCCAGTCTAAATAGTCTAAAAGAACAGCTTTCAGACAGAAGCAACTGGGATAATTGTTGGTAAAGGGTACTAAAATTAAAGGTGAGTGAAGAGATCTTAAAGAAATACTTAAATGTAATTCACCAGAGAGAAGAAATTTGAATTCATTTCAAGGTACCAAGATTACTTGCACATGAGATCCCTGAAGAACCTTGAAGAGAGAGAGTTATGGCAAGAATGAAAGCAGGCAAGGGCCCTTCCAGCTTCACATGGGAGGAGGAGGGTTTGTTGACTTTTAGACTAGACTGCCTGATAGCTTGACACTAATGGTCAAACAAGAGACTATAATGAGTTAGTAAGTGCAAGCTCATTGTTCCCAGAGCAATAGGCAGACATGTGGACTGTATACTAACAATATGTAGGCAGACTTTTAACTTGATTATAATCATACCCAAATAACGCTAATTTGGCCAGTGATTTCCCTTCCCCACTTCCGTACCCTCTGTGTTATGTGGCTTGAATTGTTTAGAGTATCTAAAAAACTGCACAGAGCTAAGCACCTGGAGAGGTCTCTGGTAGAATGATAAGGGCCATGCCCCCAGTCCTTTCCCATTTCCTATTTTTATTAGTGATTTGGATGGTAGGTAATATGCTTATCCTGTTTGCTGGGAAATACACTAGGTTGGTCTGAAAAAAGATCTTGAGAAATAGGAGAGATAGGCTTAATCTAATTGATGAAATGTTTTCATGAAATCACTTTATAGATAGATACTCTTATTAATCTGTTGAATTTCAGAAGTAAATAATGGGAAAACTGGGAACTTTTAAGTATTATAACTTTTTTTGCTCAATAATATGTCTAGTGATATGCAGATCATAAATATGTGCTCTTTGTAGAAAATAAATATTTTAAGCAAATAGAAAAAAGTGGAAGCAGTGACAGATTTTATTTTCTTGTGCTCCAAAATCACTGCAGATGGTGACTGCAGCCATGAAATTAAATGATAGTTGCTCCTTGGAAGAAAAGCTATGACAAATCTAGACAGCATATTAAAATGCAGAGACATCACTTTGCTGACAAAGTCCATATAGTCAAAGCTGTGGTTTTTCTAGTAGTTGTGTCTGGATGTGAGAGTTGGATCATAAAGGAAGCTGAGCACCAAAGAATTGATGCTTTCGAATTGTGGTGTTGGAGAAGACTCTTGAGAGTCCCTTGGACTGCAGGGATATCAAACCAGTCAATCCTAAAGGAAATCAGTCCTGAATGTTCATTGGAAGGACTGATGCTAAAGCTCCAATACTTTGACCACCTGCTGTGAAGAGCCGATTCTTAGGAAAAAACCCTGATACTGGGAAAGATTGAAGGCAAAAGGAGAAGGGGATGGCAGAGGATGAGATGGTTACATAGCTCGCTAACTCAGTGGACATAAATTTGAGCAAACTCAGGAAGATAGTGAAGGTCAGGGGAGCCTAGTGTGCTGCAGTCCATGGGGTTGCAAAGCATTGGATGTGACTTAGCAATTGAACAATAACAACATTATGAAATGTTTTAAAATAGTTAAAAGGGAAAAAATACATTGACATTTCTTCAGCTCTTACTAACACTTATTTGTGGGTATCCCTTTTCAGGAATGTGGTTGACTTTTTTCTGGTGATAACACAGCTGGGATTCTGTAGTGTGTATATTGTCTTCTTAGCTGAAAATGTGAAACAAGTAAGTGTTTTTCTCCAGTTTTTGAAATCATTTTCTTCTGATGCCATAATTATGGCATCATATTTAGATATGGCATCAAACATAGATGGTTTGCAGTCTTGGTAGAGACTGTCAGTTTGAACAAACATGCAAAGCACTGAAATAAAAAAAAGCTCTCCTTTTAGCACAATGCCAAAGTACATTTCTTTATGTGCTTTATCTGATAGTTGGCCTGTATTATTCTTACTTTACCCTCTGTTTTTATTTAGTTATTTTAATCATAACTTTTATTAATTATCCACATGTGCATGGTACAATAGCAGGCATTACTCAGTAATCTAGAGTACTTCTCTTGTAGGTATTTTAATGCAAAGTCATGTGAATATGTGTTCTACAGAATCTGTATGTATATATCTAGTATATATTTGGTCTTCCCTTGTGGCTCAGCTGGTAAAGAATCTGTCTGCAATGCAGGAGACCCAGGCTTGATCCCTGGGTTGGGAAGATCCCCTGGAGAAGGGAATGGCTACCCACTCCAGTATTCTGGCCTGGAGAATTCCATGGACTTAATAGTCCATGGGGTGGCAAAGAGTCAGAAATGACTGAGTGACTTTCATTTTCACTTTCAAGTATATATTTGACTCACTTTTCTAAGTATAAGATAACTTCATTTTATATTTAGACCAAGATTTGGCAACCATTTTTTGTAAAGGTCTAGATAGTAAGTATTTTCAGTTTTGCAGGCCTATGATATCTGTCTCAACTCAGCTGTAGACAATAATACATTATATGTGGCTGTATTCCTATAAAATTTTATTTGCAAAAATAGATGGTAGGTTTTGGTCTGGGGGCCATAGTTTGATAAAGCCCTCCTCTTAGATTTTTAATGGTGGAAAGGGTCACTGAGTCTTTCTTTTATAAATAACAGAGTTGATGTTTTTATCAGCATTATTCATCATTGATGATGTGCTTTTGATTTTACAAGTATTTAATTCTTCAAGTCATATAGTTTTAGGATTACTGACTCAGTTAAGAGGCTATTTTATGTCAAGATAAGGTATCCCATTTTACTAGTCATTTACATAGAATATAATGGAAATGGTGCCTTTCTAGGATTGTGCAACATGGTAGTATTGTATCTTTTCTATCATCCCTTAAGAGAGCTACCAACAAGCTTGACTTAAAGTTATAGATAATGCTCATAATGCTTTATGATCCTATAAACTGTGATACCTATCCTCTAATTTTTGCAGCTGCACTATAAGTATTATGCTCATTTTATGAATGAGGATACAGAGTCTCACAGAGCATAAGCAGTGTGCCCCAGGTCATGTGAACTAGGCAGAGACCTAAATGCCTCATACAACTGCCACACTACTGTTCTTCCTAGGGCAGGACATTGACTTTACTTGTGAGTGTGTGTATGACACAGACTATATAAGTACATAAAATACGTATCTGTACGCTCAGGGTTGGTGACTTTCTCCTATCAAATGTTATCAGTTGCCTCCAAAGTTGAATGGAAGAATTTAACTCATTTGCACATATCACAAGGCCAGGTAGAAAAAGTGACTCTCTGGAAGGTAAGGAGAAGCTTGCAGTTGATAGAAAGATGAAAGTTCTTTTGCAGCCAAAAAAGCAATATGGAAAAAAGAAATTGAAATTGAGGCAGATGTGAGAAAAGTTGAAAGCAGTGTTAAGCACCTCACCTTAGCAGTGCAGACAGATGATCACTGAAACAGCATTATCAGAGATTGCCCCTCTCTGCAAAAGTGTCCTCACATTTGAGAGTAGTCTCCAATAAAAGGCACACAGGTTGATTAAACTGTACTAATTGCTACTACTTTTACAGTTAAAACCTGTAAGGTTATTACCACCTTTATCTGCCTAAAACTGAAGGGTGAGTATTACATCGAACCAAAGAACTGAAGAGTTTAGTTCCCATGCGGAGTTGTGCGTCTCTTGCTCTGTAGCTTCTGCATGGCTGTGGTCCTGTTAAGCCACTGTGGACAGTTGGCAGGGGTGAGGTGCTGTGATGCTTCCAGTGATGCTGGCCCATTGTGGTTATAGAAGCTTCTTGCTGATCTCACGTTAAAATGCTCAAGAAAATGTCAGATAGACAAAATAGTGTATGTGGGTATGAAGAATAGGGAAGGGCTATTATATTCAGGGGGAAAAAAATGTTGTGATAACCAAAGACCATGGACTTCCGAGTCAGAAGATCTGAATTTAGATGCATGCTCTCAGTTTTAACTTACACTTTGGATAAGACCCTCTTATACCTGGTCAAGCTTCGATTTCCTTATTTGTAAAATAGGAACAATAGCAAAATCTCCCCATGTTGCTCATAACCTTATTGTGAGGCTCAGCTGATGAAAGGTTTGTGAAAGCCTTTATACAATGCATTATGCATTTTATATGCAGTATGCAAATGTAGCATATTATAGCTTTAATTCTGCATTTTAGCTTTGCTGAAGAACATCATCTGCCTTTGGAATTTTAACCATTAAATCACTGAATTGAAAAGTTAATAAATTGTAGAATTTAGTAAATTTGAGCTCTACATGGAAGCAACTGAATTTAGTAATTTTATCTTATAATATTTATTTCAGTGTTTTGCATTTTGGTAAACTTGTGAGAGCGTAGGAAGCCCTATTAGATAGCCAGTCTCTGTCTCTAGAGGGCACCGAAGGACTCAAATGTTTACCTGAATCTTGCTCTGGGTATGTATCGATACTTTTATTTTACTTTATTTTTCAATCTCGAGAATTTCCTATAACAGTCTTTCTGCCAAAGAATACTAAATTATTATGAGAGGTTTGTGGTAGAATTGATGTGAAATTCCCAAGCACCTAACAACTCAAGCAGCCCTTTGTAAAATTGGTTATATGACTACTTTTCTATTGCCAAGAATCCCTGATAGAGCTTAACTCTGATCATGGCCTCATCTTGATTATGGGAAGTACTTCTTTGAATACCTGTACTTCAGAAGTATTTGGCTGTAAATAATTTGATGACAGAGAAAATCAGGTCAACAAATAAAATATCTTCTTAAAAGCCAAGTGATGTAAATGGTCAATTTTGCTTTTATTTCAAGTTATAGAAGATAAAATAGAAAGTTTTAATGGCCAATTATAAAATAAATGAGAGCTGTGCATTTCTTAAATGGCACATGGCATAACCTGAGAGTCTGTTAGTTCAGTATGAGTTATAAGTTGCCAATATAACTTAAAAGTAGTAGGTATATTCCCTGCAATTTAAGATGATATGTACATTTGTAGTGACACTAAACATTACTTACTGTGGATAAGGGTAGAATTAACCCCCTGGATTAGTAATCATGTCAGGATTTTGTTCTGTACTTCTGACTTGTTGGCCTCCTAGTCCTGTATTTCGGGGGAGAAAGAGCGATGTCATGGAAGGGACCAGGGGCTCCTTGGGTAGGCCTTCTTTGAGGCTTGCAGCGTTTTGATGAGGTGAACGTGTACCTGTCACACACTAGATTCTTGGGTCTCAGACCTGGGTTTGAATCCTAGAACCACCACTTACTGGCTTGATATTACATAGATTTTTCTTTCTTACTTTCCCTAAACCTCAGTTTCTCAACTATAAAATGGAAATTAATATTACCACCCACCTCAGAGAGTTGTTTTGAGGATTAAATTAGATGTTGCATATAGTATTTAGTTCAGTACTTGACACAGTGTATATAAATCATAATTTTCTTTATGTTTCTCCTTCATGAGTATAAGTTGATAGAAGTTTTTTCCTCCACTCTTCATTATTCTCCTGGTAATCTCCTGGTAATAGATTCATGAAGGGTTCCTGGAGAGTAAAGTTCAGTACTTGACACATAGAAAGTACTCAGAAAATACTTGCTGTTATTATTATAAGTTTTGGTTCTTAATTTATATATCCAGAGACGTGATGATGTCATTATGTTCAAAGGAGGGTACAGTGTTTGGGACAAATAGATTTTCACTGATATTTTTATTTTAGTATGATCTGCCTCTGCTGTGAGTTTTTAAGGTTATTTTTAAAGTCCTCTATAATTTCAATTCTATTTTTGTAAGTTGGACTATTTGATTAATTGAATCAGGGATAATTTTTAATATATGGAGCCTATAATTATGAAATCTCTTTTGGAAACTAAATATTGGTTTATAGAAGTAGCTGAATAAATTTTGAGGCAAAGTTGGTTTATCTTATAGAATCTTTTTGCTCTGACAAAACTTTATTGTCTAGCACCCAGAAGATAACTGATTTTTAATAAATATATATTGACAGTGATACTAATTCATCAACAGTTGCTTTATAGAATACCTTTAAAATTGGGCCCTGATTTCTGTGTTTCATTTGGACTACTGTACATTTCTAAAAGGCACTTGGAGATTGTTTTCTGCTTTGAAAAAACTGTTTTTTCAAAACTACCCCATGGCCAGTGGCCATTTTAGACAAGCATACTTCTGTTCTTGATTATCTCAGAAGCAGATTGAGCCTTTGCAGGAAGCACAAGCATCACGGTCACAAAGCTTCAAAATGGGTTAGCAAGTCTGTCCTCATAAGTTTCTAGTGAATTTGTTTTCACAGTATGATAAAATTATTTTGCAAAGAAGACTATTCTATTTTAATTATTCTTTATTTATATATACATATATATATATATACATACATATATATATTTCTAGGTTGCTAGATTATCTTGAAACTGTGTTTTATTTATTGCAAAGGAATTTATCATAGAGTGTACGTAGATCATTGTTTTTTTTATATTTATCCTTCATGCTTATAAGTTAATGGAAGTTTTTGTCTCCCCTCTTCCTTATCCTCCTGGTAATCCTGTATAGGTTCATGAAGGGTTCCTGGAGAGTAAAGTGTTTGTTTTGAATAGTACCAATTCATCAAGTCCATGTGAGAGAAGAAGTATTGACCTAAGGATATACATGCTTTGCTTTCTTCCATTTTTAATTCTTTTGGTCTTCATTCGTGAGCTCAAGAATCTGTTTGTCCTTTCATTCCTTGCCAACATATCCATGGCTGTCAGTCTTGTGATAATTTATCAGTACGTTGTTAGGGTAAGTATAACGTGTTTTTAACTGTGTTGTATGTTTTTTAACAAGTAAACATTTTTTTTTTTTTACTTTAGAGGTAAAAGTGATGATAAGTAAAGACCCTACTTCATCTGTGTCACCTAGGAGATAAACAGGTTTCCTTTTGGGGATACTGCTTAGCTGAAGAAGTATATGGCATAGAGGATGAAAGCGTAGGCTTGTAGTCAGATCTGGTTTTGAATCTTGGTCAGTATGCTTCCGAGCTGTAGGGCATTGCTTCAAAATGTAGTAATGCCTGCCCTTCTAGAGTTGGGAGATGCAGGAGCCTGCCTTAGTACACTGCCTCAAAGAAACAAAGAATGCAACAGTGTCTTGTTTATTCCTTTAAGACTTAAACCAGTCACAGGAGATGGGAGTCTAGATGTGATGTTATGATTTTCTTTCACGCCTGAAGCTTTATTTGCCGCCACCGCTTCAGCTCACTGCCACTACCCTGGGTTGTAATCTCTTTCTGCAGTAACTGCAACTGAGTTCATCATCAGTAGTCTGGAGATACTTAACTCAGTTTCCTTAAAATAATCTGTTGAGAAGATCCAGGGATCTGCAAATCCCTTAAAATTATTTATAAGATTTAGTGTTTCTGTTTGTATATATGCATTTTCCACTGATCAGCTGTATAGCTTTCATCTCTCACTGGGGCCAGTGACTCAAAAAAGGTGGAGAATAAATTATCATAAATCTTTGACTCAGTTCAGTTGCTCAGTCATGTCTGACTCTTTGCGACCCCATGAACTGCAACACGCCAGGCCTCGCTGTCCATCACCAACTCCCAGAGTTTACTCAAACTCATGTCCATTGCATCAGTGATGCCATCAAACCATCTTGTGCTTTGTCGTTCCCTTCTCCTCAATCTTTCCCAGCATCAGGGTCTTCTCAAATGAGTCAGCTCTTCTCATCAGATGGCCAAAGTATTGGAGTTTCAGCTTCAGCATCAGTCCTTCCAATGAATATTCAGGACTGATCTCCTTTAGGATGGACTGGTATGATCTCCTTGCAGTCCAAGGGACTCTTAAGAGTGTCTTCTCCAACACCACAGTTCAAAAGCATCATTTCTTCAGCACTCAGATTTGTTTATGATCCAACTCTCACATCCACACATGACTACTGGAAAAACCATAGCTTTGACTAGGTGGCGGACCTTTGTTGGCAAAGTATGTCTCTGCTTTGTAATATGCTGTCTAGGTTGGTCATAGCTTTTCTTCCAAGGAGCGAGCATCTTTTATTTCATGGCTGCTGTCACCATCTGCAGTGATTTTGGAGCCCAGAAGATAAAGATTTTCTAGACCTCTCTTATGTCACACTTCAGTGTCTTTGTTCATCCCTTTCATCGGCCTCGGATTCCACTTCCAGTCTGATAAGGCAGAGAACACAGGGGGGTGAGGAGACTTGGGGCAGCTGGAAGAAGTAGCCACTTTGGACCCAGACATCTTGAACAAGATGTGCAGATTCTGAGTTTCCAGATAGTGAGGGTTGGAACAAGGCCATGTGAGCCAGAGTCGAGGCTTGTGCACAAATAGTAAGGGCGATGGCAATTGTCAGGTCGCAGAGTGAAACCCTGAGCAGGAGCTGGGGAGCCGCGCAGGGCCATGCGGTGGGAAGCCAGAGCTGGGGAGGTCTTAGAAGCCAAAAGCGCAGTGGGAGTAGCGTGGGGATGAGTTCCACTGGACACTGTCAGCAGTGGTTGATAGTGACTGTGTGGCTCTCAGCTCAGATGTTGATATGCTTGCGTGTTTCCCGTTGTGGCAGGAGCCATGCCCAGTGAGAACAGCCTGGGACTTACAGGTGGGAGCAGGTAATCAGGAGCATTTAGCTCAGCTGGAACATGTGGGCTCGAAGGAGACAATTGCTTCTGGCAGTAAAATCCTAACAGCTTGGCTACATTTAACATAGGATGCTTAAACTTTTTAGTGAAACAATTATTCACATTTATAATCCACATTTGCTAGTGTGAAGCTCATAAGTATATGATTTCACTCTTCTGCTTTAAATTGTTTCAAACAAGTACGTAACTTATCTTATTTTTTCTTTCTTTCTCCAGAATATGCCAGATCCCCACAACCTTCCAATAGTGGCTGGTTGGAAAAAATACCCCCTCTTTTTTGGTACTGCTGTATTTGCTTTTGAAGGCATTGGAGTGGTAAGGATTTAATTCTTTATTATTTTTTTTTAAAATGTTAAGTCAACACAGAGACTTAGTTACATTTAAAAATACATGGTTTTCTTTCCTGTTTCTGTTTATTTTTGTTTGTTTCTATTTTTTTATTCCTAGAAAATAATTTGCATTTTGGCATGATAATCTTGAATTACGGTTTAGTTCCTCTACTAACCAGCAGTTTCATCCATGTTCTATATTAGATTGTTTTCTTAATGTGTAAAATGAGAGCATTAGAATAGATGATTTTTAATATTTTGTTGTGAAAATTTTCAAACCTATATAGTGTGATGAACTCCTCTGTAAGCGTCACCCAGCTTCAAAAACCATTAACTCGTGGTTAATTTTGTCTGATCTATATTCTCTCTACTCTGTCAAGTCTGGGTTATATTTAGACAGATCCCAAACATCATATCTTATAGACTAGATGGTTAGAAATGAATTGAACTTGTTATAAAGTTTACTATTACATAAGAAGAGTCAAACATAAATTCTTTTTAGATTTATGCATATCATATTTGTTTTGTGAAATGATGTTATCATGAAGCTAATACCAAGAGATACAAACATTGTGCAGATTCTGAGATCCTAAATATTTCCATTCAAGATGCTTCCAGTTCAGGGAACTGAACTTGTGGCCTAGTGGTTAAGACGCTGAACTTCCAGTTCAGGGGCTGTGGATTCGGTCCCTGGTTGGGGAGATAAGATGCCAAATGCCGTGCGGTGTGGCTAAAAAATTAAGCAAGAAAAAGATGCTTCCCATTCATTGAAAGCCCAGAATGTATATGTAGATTTGGGCAAAATAGAATATTGCTGTTTGTGTGCTCAGTCAGTCATGTTCAACTCTTTGTGACCCCATGGACTGTAACCTGCCAGGCTCCTCTGTCCATGGAATTTTTCAGTCAAGAATACTGGACTGGGTTGCCATTTCCTACTCCAGGGGATCTTCTCGACCCCAGAGATCAAACCTGCATCTCTTGTGTTTGCTGCATTGGCAGGTGGATTCTTTGACACTGTGCCACCTGGGAAGCCCCATACTACATTTGATCTTGGTCAAAAGACCATGTCTTTTTGTCTTTTGATGCTGTTCATGGGGTTCTCAGGGCAAGAATACTGAAGTGGTCTGCCATTCCCTTTTCCCTGGACCACTGGGTCCTTCTCCAGTGAGCCAGACCCTGATGCTGGGAAAGATTGAGGGCAGGAGGAGAAGGGGGCAACAGGGGCTGAGACGGTTGGATGGCATCACTGACTCAATGGATGTGAGTTTGAGCAAACTCAGGGAGATAGTGAAGGACAGAGAAGCCTGGCATGCTACAGCCCATGGGGTCACAAAGCGTCAGACACGACTTAGCAACTGAACAGCAAAAGGCCATAACTTATGTTTCATCGTCTGATGGTTGGGTGTGGGAGCAGAACTGCTGATAAACATCTGTTTGTATGAACCGCAGACAAAACAGAACTGAGACAGTTTTCTGTGATTTTAGTTGGCTTTCTGCTCTCTGATTCTCCTTTACAGAATTCTTCCTAGTTCTTAGAGGTTCCATTTATCCCTGTTAGAGACATAATTGTAGATTTTCATTTCTGCTTTAGCTAGTAAGCTGTAGTTAAGCTATTGGACATTTCCACTTAAGTGTTGTTCCTCTGATATCTCAGATTCAACAACTCTGAAGTCTGACACATCCTTTTTTATATAAAACCAGTTTCATTTTCTCATTTCTCTATTTCTTTTAGTTTGACTTTTGGTTGCTCAAACTGGCAATACTGGAGTATTTCTTTTCACTGTGTCCCTAGTTTCCCCATTCCAGTCAGCAGTTAGGCTGTGTTGAGCCTTCTCTTTGTACTTCCCCAGATCAGCTCTGTAAATGAGGTTATGTGTGAAACAGGCAACGCTGCTGGATGCACGTGGGGCCTCCATAGTGTCTGTTTCCGTCCCTTCCTCCTTTCCTAGCTGCACTGGCATCCCTGACTTTAGCTTCTCCTCTCAGTCTGGGTTTTCTCTGGAGCACACAACGTGGGTACTCTTCTCTTTTCTGCTAATCACTCACAGTTTTCACATGGACCTACCTACCTCACCTCAGAAGTGGAGATAACATTAGTTATTATCTCATGAGGTTATTGTGAGATACTACATGCAAAGCTTTTTAAAAAAGTACCTGGCACATTGTAAGCACTCAGTAAATACTTATTATTACTTAGTGTCTTTTACTGTATGGTCAAATTTGTATGCCCCAAACCTCCAAATATTTGCCTACAGATTTAACTTTTAAATTGGCCTTTTTTTAAAGGGTCCCCCCCCCCATAATGTAAGTACTTATTCGTCTCACTGGGGCTTCCCTGGTGGCTCAGATGGTAAGGAATCCACCTGCAATACGGGAGATCTGGGTTCCATCCCTGGCTTGGGAAGATCCCCTGGAGAAGGGAAAGGCTACCCACTCCAGTATTCTGGCTTGGAGTATTCCATGGACAGAGGACTCCACAGGGTTGCAAAGAGTCGGATGTGACTGTGTGACTTTCACACTTCACACGTTCATCTCATTAAATTGACAGACAACAGATACAGACGGATAGATAGAGAAACAGTTGTAGACACGTGTGTACTTGGGTCAGTATGCGTACATGTATCTACTAACTCTGTCTGCGGAGAGAGCTGAAAGCAATGGCACCCAGGAGCACTGAGCCCTTAGTGCCCAGATCTTGAGTTCTAAATCTGATTTTCCAGCAAAGGAAACAAAGTTCTTTGGAGAAATGACTGGTTACAGGACAGAGAAGCAAGGAAATTCAGGTTGTGTCTGGAGCATATTGTAGTGCCAGAGAGTATGTGTGTGTGAGTTGTTCAGTTGTGTCTGACTCTTTGCAACCCCATGGACTGTAGCCTGCCAGGCTCCTGTGTCCACGGAGTTTTCCGGGCAAGAATATTGGAGTGGGTTGCCATTTCCTTCTCCAGGGGATCTTCCTGGCCCAGAGATTGAACCTGCGTCTCTTACATCTACTGCATTGGCAGACAGGTTCTTTACCCACTAGTGCCAGCTGGGAAGCCCTGCCAGAAAGTATGAAAGTGCTCAAAAAAGCAAAAGAATATGTGTACGTCAAAAGGACAAAGGAGCTCACCTGATGGAATTCATGATGACTGGAGCTGGAATGATAGTAGTAGCAAAATAAGCAGTAGTGTTTCGGTTCTGTACGCAAAGCTGTAAAACAAATATACATGAATCCTTATGAATACCAGTATGTGATTAAATAGATAAGCACATAGGGCAGATTTCCAAATAGCTTATGTAGATACTATCCTCTAGGACCTGTCACTAACCCCCAGTCCCTGGAGCGCGGGCTGCCTGTCGTGATTACTTCCAAATAGGAGCAGGAAGGAAAGAGCTTTATAAGCAGAACTTTCCGGGCAAACACTGCCTTAGCCAGGTGATCAAAATGAACTCCACCAGCGCTAAATCATGTTGATGGCGTGTGTGACAGGAAGGGCATCACACTTCCATGGTGTACTTTTATGAAACCTATAATCCCAATCTAGTCAGGAGGAAAACATCAGACAATTAATAGAGGGGCAGTGTGCCAAATACATAACCAGGCTCCTCAAAGCTGTCAAGGTGATAAACAATAAGGAAGGATCAACAAACTGCCCCAGACCAGAGGAGACTAAGGGCACACGATGGCAAAATGCAAGGCGCTGTCCTGGCCAGGACCCTGGAGCAGAACAAGGACGCTTGTGGGAAAACTGGTGAAATCCAAGTAGAAGTTTGGAGTTTAATTATAATGTCCCAGTATTGGTTCTTAGTTGTAACACATGTACTTTCGTTGTCTAAAATGTTACTAAAAGGAGAAACTGGTCAGGAGTATATGGGAGTCTTCTGTTTATCTCTGCATCTTTTCTGTAAATCTAAAATTCTTTCAAAGTAGAAAGTTTATTTTTTAAAAAACCTGACAGTTTTACACATTAAGAGCTGATTTCAAATCTTTTTATTTTAGGAATTTAAAAAATCTGTAGTGTGAAAAAATATGTAATATTTAGAAAAATACATCAAGGATTATGTGTTGCATATACTATAGAAATATTAATTTGGGCACCTATCAGACGGGGTGCTATATTGTTTTCATTTATTTGCATTCTCTTCTTAGGTCCTTCCACTGGAAAATCAAATGAAAGAATCAAAACGCTTCCCCCAGGCATTGAATATTGGCATGGGGATTGTCACAGCGCTATATGTAACATTAGCTACTTTAGGATATATGTGTTTCCACGATGATATCAAAGGCAGCATAACTTTAAATCTTCCCCAAGATGTGTGGTAGGTAGACAAGAGTTTGTTAACCGAATTTGTATATTTTATAAATATAATTTACTAGTGTTTTATGATAAAAGTATATTTTTAGTTTTATGATTTAAACATTTAAAATCTTTACTGTGGTTTCTTTATTTGTGTAATCTAAATTTTTTCATAATCTTCAGAGGAGGTCATCTGATTTTGCAGATTTTTGCGGTATATTTTTTAAAGATTAAAAATTACAGGTTGTTCCAAATTTGGATAACAGGTGAAACATGAACTCTTTTAATATAGACTCACTTTAATAAAAAATTTAATACTTATCCTTGCTGCCCAAAATCTAACATTCTGGGTTTCTGATAAAATCATATAACCCATCACTTATGGCCCTCAAGGTTTTAGTGGTCAGCTTTAATACTGTATGTGCCTCAGTCCTTTCTGAACACAGGACACATTATACAGTTGACCGTTGAACAACAGGGGTTTGAACTGCATGGGTCCACTTATATGGATTTTTTTCAATTAACATGTTAGAAAAATTTTTGAGATTCATGACAATTTGAAAAAACTCACAAACTACATAGCCTAGAAATATAAAAAAGGTATGTCATTAATCTATAAAATATATGTAGCTGTACCTGTAACATACAAGATATGAGTTAATTGACTGTCAGTAAGGCTTCTAGTCAGTAGTAGGCTATTAGTAGCTAAGTTTGGGGGGAATCAGAAGTAATATGCAGGGTCAGACCCCAGCCCCTGCACTGATCAAGGGTCAACTGTAAATAGTGTGGTGCATCTTAATATTCTCTTTATTATTAGAACCATATTCTGCTAAATGAAGCAATATATAGAGTCTTAATCTTCTTCCAGAGATTGATCTTTGGAGATTTAATAAAGATATTGGCAGTGATTATGATGTAGACTCGCTCCCTTATTTATGAAATGGAAAAGTAACTTCTTAACTTTTGATAGATGCAAAGAATAAATGCTGACCTAATACCATGCTGTTGGTATTTAGCTGTTGGTATGGAAGTCTGTGAAACCTTAAATTTAAATATTTTGACTGGCTTCCTGATGAGAGTTTGATTGCTATTCATTTGAATCCTAGGTCCTCAATGGAGTCCAGAATGTTATTAGAGTAAATGTGTGCAGGGAACCACTTATGATAGGGAGGAATTACGTAGAGTGGTTTCCAGGTTGCACAAGTCTCATATATGCAGTGTGTTTATCTTTTTTTTTTAATTACAGTTTTCCTTTAGCTGTGATATATTTAGGAAGGCATTCCAAGGTGGAACCCTTTCAATGATATACATTTGTTTCAAGCTGGAGACCTGAGTACAAACAAGACATGTGATTGTTTGGCCTTTATTTCATTAACCTATTTTATAGTTGATAATATAGTTTTGTTTCCTTCAAAAGTGCTCCTTTTTTCTTTTTTGTAATAGTTTAATATGGAGTATAGACAAACAGCTTAATATAAGAGGATCAAGGCTAAGAATTATGGTAGTTTAGTTTCTCTTTCAAAGATAGTTAAGTACAGTGTCTAGAATACAGAATGATACATTTCTCCACTTGGAGTAATAGTTAGACTAAATCCTAAAAGCAAATTTATAAGTAAATTTGACAAGTACTATAAGAGGTAGGTGGGGAAACAGCATCAGAATTCTCCCCTACCCTTATTCATGAACGTATCTAAAGAAAGTCTTGAGGGGGACGATACCGAGGTGGCAGTGCCTGCGTGTTAAGCTGAGACGCTCCTCTCCCCAGGGAGCCAGGGACCTGGTGAAGTAGCAGTGGACACAGAGGTGGAGGTGTTGGTCCTTTAATGGACCAGAACCTGCTGGTCCGGAGTCGACGATGAGAGTGAAAGAAGGAAAGAGGCTAATATTCCCTGGGTTATGCAGCCGGCTTCCGCGCTCCAGGGAATCAGCCAGAAATAGAGAGAGAGAGAGAGAGAAAAAAAGAAAGAAAGAAAGACATGGGGACCAAAGCTCTGATGGAGCAAAGGTGTTTTCATCAACATGGCGTGAGCATATATACTGTAGTTATTCTCAGCAAAGATAAAGATTAAAATTGCAGACTTAAAAAACACAAGGCGATCCCTATTAAAGAGAGAAGAGTGTACTTACCACCATAATGAGAAACTAACAAAGGAAATGCCTGGATTCCTCAGCCCTGGGAAAGGCATGCCTCTCCTCTTAATTCCTGAATATTCAGGAATTAATAAGGGCCAACGGTTTTCTGACAGATCCATAACAGCACCCGGGAAGCCTCCTGTTAAATGCTTCCTGACAGGAAGGAATGCTTCTGGTTTTCACAGCTAAACCTCAGGGGGGTGGTACTGTCCCTGCAGCAGCTCTAATCAATCCTTCCCTTTTTCTGCGTCCACTTCCCACCTTTGCCTTGTTCCCTAATTGCTATGGCTCCCCAGTTAGAATGGAACTCATTATAAGCCTTAATTAAAAACAGGCTATCAAATAAAACAACTCTCCACTTTCAGGTTGTGACTATTTTTTTAGTCGACAAGATCATAGTTTCTATTCGGGAAAGCCTTGTTAGACACCTGCTTTTTACTTAGAAGAGGGGAGCCTTGTATCCTTGGAAATAAAAATCTGTTCAAAACAGGAAAGCAAGTCAGGATACTCCCCTTTAGAGAACTGCTGTTGAGTAACACATTCTTTTGGAGACATGCCTCTTGTGACCTACAGTCTGTTTCTTTATGGTCTGCAGCTGTGTGTGCGTGCTCAGTTGCTTCAGTCTTGTCCGACTCTTAGTGACCCCATGGACTATAGTTCACCAGGCTTCTCTGTCCGTGGAATTCTCCAGGAAAGAATACTGACTGGAGTGTGTTGTCATACCCTTCTCCAGGGTATCTTCCCAACCTAGTGATCAAACCCCAGTCTCTTACATCTCCTGCATTGGGAAGCAAGTTCTCTGTGAGCGATACTGGAGAGAAGACGCTTGTCTTTTATAATGATAATCTTCCAAAATGAGAAGCTTAGACTAGGATGATCATGGGGTTATCTCAGAGATTACTTTCTTGAATTGCTGTGTATGAGTCCCTTCTTCCCTCCCCTCCCTCTGCTTCAGGCAATAGCCCGAGCAGTTTAGAGAATGTGTAATGTACTCTTTATTGTCCGAGTATTGATCTTGGAGAGGCAGCAGTGAGTGAAGACTCTTAGTTCTCTGCCTAGAAATTGAACCTGGGTAGCCTGGATGAAACTAGCCACTAGATCAGCAAGGGTTAGAGGCTAGAAGCTCTTGCCCCCATTGAAGTGCATTTCTCAAGGAGGCAGGAGCTGTGACAGGAGATACAAAGTTTATTATTAGACACACAGCACAATCACCAGTGTGAGAGCCCAGTGGAGAAAGTCTGTGTAGCTGAGATAGAAGTGAGGCAGAGATGCACACCCGGAGGGAAGGGGTGAGGTGTCCCCCTTGGTGAGGAGGAGCCCTGCAAAGAGGCCGTTAAGGCATTCATACAGGGCAGTTCTTCTGGGTCTTTGTATACTTTAGGCCAATTGTCTGGTTTCTTTTTCCACATCTGACCTACCCTAGGACCCTCCCCCATATGCTTGTGCAACACCATGGACTGTAGCCCGCCTATCCTGGGCCGGAATCCATTTTCCAGTGTTCATTCCAGCCCAGATTACTATAAGGCAGCCTTGGCATCACATACTGTGGGGATGCCCCCTCCTTTGACCCCAGGAGCTTTTGTGCACATGTTCAGTGTCTCCCTCTCCCCAAGGATGGGAAACATGAGACCTCCTGATCCTTTACTCAAACAGGGTGTAGCCCCTTCTGTTTCTGCCATGCCTGTTACCTTAAGGTGTCCACAGAAGACATGGCCTGGCTCTTTTCCCTGTTTATGTTGTCATTTCTATTTCAGAGTGCAAAGAGGAGGCTGGTTGTAAACACATGATCTGGAGCCCCCCATCTCCTATCTCAGGAAATACAAACGGGAGGCTCGCTGTAGCGTGTCCAGCCTAAAGCCCATTTTTTTGGTCCCAAGAAATGTAAGCAGGAGCCCACCTAATTCCTGCCTCAGATATGAAAGCCAGTGACTGTCACAGGAGCCTAGGGACCCAACTACCAGCCATGAGAAGCTCTAAAGGGCTTTTGATGCCACGTTGACTTGAAGTCTCAGAGTTCATGTGGGGTATTCCTATAAGAAAAGGTTGAATCAGAGAGCAGCCCCATAATAAAGCAAGTATGGATTAGAGAGGCTCCAAGTTATTAATTACTTACTACTTTCGGTCTTAGTGAGGCATCATCTTTTAAAACTAGTTATGAGTGCTATTGTTCAATGTAGTGCATTTAGCTTTTGAAGTAAAGGATATATTTTAAAGATGATAATAAAGTAAATTGGGCTTCCCCCATGACTCAGGGGTTAAAGAACCTCCTACAATGCAGAAGACACAGGAGACAGGGGTTCGATCCTTGGGTTGGCAAGATCCCTTGGAGGAGGAAATGGCAACCGACTCCAGTGTTCTTGGAGCCTGGCAGGCTACAGTCCATGGAGCCTCACAGAGTTGGACATGACTGAGCGACTAAGCAATCAAATAAATTCACGGTTCTGAGCTAGAACATGAGCACCTTGAGGCAGAAACCCTGCACCTCTGGGTTTTTGATGCATCTCCATAATATAGACATTACTCAGCACTTAGTAAATGTTCATTAATTAGTATTCTAGATATAAAAGCATTTCCCTTGTAACTGCTAATCTTAATTGAATGATGTTTTGGCAGTGTTTTTCCAGGATTTCCACTAGAGTAACCCAAATAGCAGACATTCTTGTCCCAAGAGATATCAAGGGTATATTAAGTTTTGAGATAAACAGACATTGAGAAGCAGTAAAGTGATTTCTTCCATCTCACACATGGAATCCTTTTGAAGCACCCATTGGATGGGGAAAATTCAAACAGGAGAGAAGCCTGCAATAACAGGGAAGATGTGGAGTAGATATTTTAATTTATTTAGATAAGTGAACTGGGACTTCATGTTCCCCACAAAACAGAAGAAAT